TAATCTTCGTATTGAGAAATTAAGAAATATCGAGTTTTGACTTGATTGGAACATTTTTAACCCCCAGTCTGCAAGATAAACTGTGGTCTGCAAATTAGAAACGCCTCCGTTAAATCGCATTTAAAGAATCAAAAATAAGGAAAATTCATTCCATAACAGGTAACATGCATTTTTAAATTTTAAAACCTAGGGAACGGCGATTGGAATGCAGAGATGCAGGTAATGCATATGATTAATTCTTGTTTTGGTGTTAAGTGTAAGCACATGTTAAAATTTGTACGTTAAATTTAGTTCGTAATTTCATAAAAGGATAATTATTCAAACAAAAATGAATCGAATTCGACGCCAAAGTCCTCCGTAACGAATGTAATTAACTTAATGTCCGTTTATTGGTGATTTTCTAATCTGCAATGTGGAAAACTTTGACTATTCCACAAACGTGTAATTTTTGTTTTTATTGTTTAAAGTTCAGAGTTAGTTTTAGGATTTTTAATTGTTCATGGTTTTAAAACGATTAACAATCATGGAAAGTGTTCCTGCAAAACACGTGGTGCAAATTCATGCAGGCTAAATTTTTTTAAACCACGATATATCTAAAGTAATGGACGTTTGTATGTATGTATACAGTATTCCCACTTCATAATTATTAAAAATACCAGAATATTTTTGTAACAATGTATAATTATTTCAAATACAAACAACAACGGATAAAATATATACTTATAGCTGTATACAAAAGATCTTGCAATGCTTTTTAGCGTGGATATTTCTTATTTATTAAAATTTAACACATAAAGGGCCGGTTTACAGAAAGCGAATTATAGCTATTAACATACCACATAGGATGTAAAGAGTGCCATAAGCGCCGCAGCCGTCCGCTTGAAATCCGAGCGCAAATTGCCAGATTTAACTGTTTTGAATTTTTCGCTCAATTTGGCTCGCTATCGCTCAGATTTCGAACTGGCATTTGTGGCTGTTATGACATTTATTACATCCTAGGTATGTTAATAGCTATAATCGTCAATTAAATTAACAGAGGATTAAAATGGAGAATATGAGCCTATGATTGGTTGCCTATCAACAGACCTCAATTAAAAGTTAACTTTAATTGGCGTTCTATAAACCGGGTCTTCAAGTGTCAACAGCAACGTAAGCTGGAAAAATTGATCAAGAAATTTCGGCAGTAGGGAACATTTTTCCTTTTCTATAGTTTTAAGAATTCTGAACACCTATTTGAACACACATACCTTCAAGAAACATCACAAGATTTGAACTTTGAAACAAGAAACCATTATATTCCATATACAGGGTTAGTCACGAGAGAATTACTTCTGAAAATTATTTTTACGCAACCCAAAATACGAATACCGTGTACCACTTGATACTAACTGAATTTCAAATGAAATGCTTAATCCATGATTGCTTTTAGTTTGGCAATCTCATTTTGACAATTGTGGAAAAGGAGGTTATGCGAGTGTCCATGGTGGTACCGCGCCAGTCGGAAATCTCCTCCGGGGCCGCTAATAAATTTGTCAGTGTGCCTCTTGATCTTTTGCAACCGATTTATCACGAGAAAATTATTTCTAAAAATTCCTTTTACGGCATTTTATTCAAAGGTTACAACACAAACTCAAACAAGTAAGTAAATAATTTAACTACTAATCTGTTGAAAATGTTGGGCATTTTGGGGGGATGCTACGGCTTTTTTGTAAATGGATGGCCGAAGAAGTCCAGAGGTTGCAGATTTGCACTTCGAAGAGGCTCTAGGTGACGCAGAGATGGCGAATTAACACATGCACATTAGCGGCGAACAACATTGGTAGAGCACTTACGGCTTCAGTATAGCCCAGATTGATCTGACTGTATGTCGTCGATCCAATGGGGCTCTAGAGACGAGTCAACGATGAAAAAAAAATGTTAAAAATTAATTAACGTCAAAGTGACACTGCTAAAGTCAAAGCAATCATGGATTAGGCATTTCATTTTAAATTTAGATAATATCAAGTGGTACAGGGTATTAGTATTTTGGGTTGCGTAAAAATAATTTTCAGAAGTAATTCTCTCGTGACTAACCCTGTATATAACAATGTATTGAACCAAAAACAGTGTAATAATTGAACAATTATTAAACTTAAAACTCACAATAAAAAGCGACTGTCTATATTTGTATCATTTTTTTGTCACTACAAAGATTCGCATATAAAAATATCCCAGAAGTTATTATACTGTGAACAATTTCAAAATACAATTAATACAAATTCTTCAATGCAAATTACGCATAAAGGGTATTTTCGATCCAGTCATCTAATGAGAACGTTGCATTATTGGTCGTGGGCGAAGCAATTTCTTTGAAGAGTTCTGTAACCAAAAATATAAGTAGTCTTTACTTCTTTAACTTTCTTCTGAAGTACACAGTAATTTCGTATTGTACAGAAAATCTTTGCTCCTTCACAGACAGTGTATTAAAAAAATATCGAACCAGAAAATCACGAAAACTTGTGAAGTGTTTAATTCTTTTTGTTCTTATTTTGCTTAATTACCGACAACTGGTAATGTAAGAAGCACAATTAAAAAAGCATTTAGTGCTAAAGATTTTCAGTAAATAAATTAGACTGATAAGATTTTCACTTTTTGAATCACAATATGTAATCAGAATTTATTAATATTACAGAAAACTATCCTCTTGGTAACGGTATTAGCGATATAAGCGTGCGCATGTGCGTACTTGACAATTAAAAATGTAATTTCAGTTGATGTACCATCAAGAAACAACATATATTTAATCGCTCAGTTTAGTTTTATGCACTTATAATTTCTAAACAATCAATTCCTCTGAATAAACCAAAACATTGCTACAGAATTCATCTTTTCATCAAACATCAAAATTGATCCAAACAAACTTACATGGAGTACTTTGAAATTTGATAATTAGTTTAAATATGAAATATGGTCCGAAAAACGTGACTTCAGTCTCACTGAACACGTATGTAATATATTTGTTTGCATATGAGTTTATTTAACTACTTACCTATCATTATTTTTAACTTGACCGCGCACATAATAAAATCATCAAATTCTATTTCGCCATCCTTGTTACCGTATCTATGCATCAGAATGTTTAAAATGTTGTTATTTATAGTATATCCTGCCGAAGACAATGCTTCCCTTAGCTCAAAACCAGTCAAGGTTCCGGAATTGTTTCTGTCAAATTTTAGAAACACATTCTAAAATACATTATTTTAATTGTCGCAATCGATAAATTAGACCGCAACCCTCACTTTCCAAACTCGAATAGACGTCCAAAGTTTCTCGAACTCTTCAAAATTCAGCTTCCCCGTTCTATCAGTGTCTAACATGGCTATCATACTGCGACATACATCCTTGGAGAATCCTCTAGCTTTGGTCTCTGTGAAATCATTAATAAAATTTTTATGGGAACTGCCTTAATCTGAAGGAGCTGCCCTATGTACGCACGTTTTTAGCACTTACAAATGCCAAGCACCTACCAGACTGCTGTTCATTTACTGCGATGTCTTGAGTTGGGGCTGATACAACGTCGGCCAGTGGCGTATCTTTGCAGAAAGTTCCGCAAAGAAGAGCTAATAAGGCTGTAAGCAAGTTGGTCTGCGACGAATTTGGTTGATTTGCTTCTGGTGCAGCCCCAACACCATCCATGTTCATTGCTACAGCTGGCTGTTCTACAGCGAAAAATGACTGATAAGCACAAATGCAGAAAGCCAACTTCACTATTTGTAAATACACGTACATACAGACAAGACGTTAGTAAAAATGAAATGTTTCAATTCAGAACATAAGTAAGTGTAAAAAAACTATATATATTTCGTTGCAGTTTTTGGAATTATAACAGTTGCTGTTAATACTGACCTTTTAATACCTTAGACAAATTAAACATTGTACAGGCTCGTAATTTCATGAACATAGTAAAAGAATGGTGTCAGGTGTCCACTTACATCATGCTAATTTTTCACAATACACTTGGTTTAAAAAAAATAAATTCTAAAAAATATTAAAAGAAAGATATATGCAATTAAAAGCAGCACAGAAGAATGTATGCCACAGAAAGCATGCACTTTATAACAGAAGCCCTATTTAGGAATTATTATAAGCGGAAAGTGCATACCCTTTCTAGTGTAATAATCTAGTATCTCTTTTAATTCTTTCCAATCAACTTCTTCATCTTTTCCTGCAACGTGCTTAAACAACTGAAGAACAATTTCGTTTTCTTTTGCTTCAGCTGGCGTTACTTTTGATGCAGTCTACAATAAATGTAAGTTTTCAACATGTTTTCAGTGGGAAAAATATTTACCAATACTTTAACATGCTCCTTATACAACTGACGAAATAAAGCAATTCAAACGCGACAGCATTGTCGTCGAGTACAGTACAAACACATGAAATAAAAGGTGGGAGTTGTTATTTATAGTGTACTAAAATTTCTACTTCACCTGAACGTAGTAGATATCGAATTTATGTCAAGAGTTGCAAAATATATAAATTTTTATAAAATAAACCAACATACTCTAACAGACATAAATCGAACGTTTAATTTAATATTGTGCCAACAAGAAAAGACATCCAAATTTTGGATCTTACAAAAAGTGGAGATGCAAATGCGCCCAAAAAACTGCAGACCTTTTAAAGCTCTGGACTTAATTACGGTTACTTGCAATTAAATGATTTGTTTTGGTTGAAAATTTTACTATAACAGCAAAGATCTCGTATGTTGCAATTTTCTGAACGTGGCACTAGAAACAATATTATACATATTTTTTAATTTAAAGGGCGTAAGATCCCAGCAGATACTATACTCAGAAAAAATAATCAAATTCAAGAACATGTCACAACTTACCGGGGTTTTCTGGTCTTTTAATCCTATTTCTTGGTCATTTTCCCTAAAAATAAAAAAGCATACAGTGACTTTGAACAAGGTCTTGTTAACTGTTGACAACAGGTTAAAATAACACCTCTGTACATCTCGATTGTTTTATTTGCACTTTAATAGAATTAAATAAATACTGTCAACACTGAAAACACGACTATACAAAAGGTAAAACTTTAAATGCCTTCCATAAAAAATGCTTAAATAGTTTACATGAGAGATACATTTATTCCTCGTAAATTTAATTACTGCGTTAAACATTATGAGATTCATTAATTTCAACTATGGAAAAATGTGAAACATGTCTATAGAATACAACTGATATTTTAAGGTTAGTTTTGACGGTTAAATAAGCATTAATTATGGTATCGCAAGCTAGAAAACAAACTATGTACACAAAATATCAATTTAACAAACTTCTCAGGAATGATGAGAATATGTATAATTTTTTTAAAATCTTTATTTCAAGATCATTATTCATTACTTTTTCTTTTATAAAGTCTATTCTATACTAAGTAGAGATTACTTTTTATATATTCATAATAAATATTAGTATAACAGTAGAGGCATTTTAAAAACTTTTATCTTCTACACTGAGAACTTTGTACAGAAATTGAAATTCGAAAGTGAAAAAAAAAACACAAATCAACATCAAACAACATATAACACAAATGATTAAATCATGAGTTAAAAAATATATGTTTTCTTTAGCACCATTTTTAATCTCTAACAAATCTGATCTAGGAAAGGATCAAATTTAAACGACTATGTGCTAATTAAGTAATATTTAACGATTAATCATGTTAGTTGGCTAAGATACCTTATCGTAATTATTCCATCACCTGATAAAGTTACTCACTCGTACACGGGTGTCCTATATGTACTCAACTTTAACACAAAAGGAGCTTTTCTTATGAAATAATACATTTTGTCAAGTTTGTTTTTCTAATATTCAAAGACTAAAAACTGGTTTATGATGATTTTTAAAACCGTATCTCGAGAATGACTTATTTTCAAAGAAAAAAATTACAGTTAGGACACCTGCTCTGCAACGTTGTACATAAAAAAAGAGTAGATCTTAACGGAACAACTTATTGAAAAAACTCGTAATAGGATCGGTACTTCTAGGGGTACGTGGTGGAGGGTTTGGACTAGAAGGGTATTGAGGATAACCTGGATAATTAGAGTTATAGGGCTGAGGATTCTGTTGGTACGGATACTGTCCGTATGGTGTTTGGAAAGGATAAGGATTTTGGGGAGGATAAGGGTTCGGGTTGGAAGGGTAAGGATTTGGATTTGAAGGGTAGGGGTTAGAATATGGGTTTGGAGGCTGAGATGGGTAAGGACTGGACGGTGTATCGTAAGGATTTGAAGGTGCACTAGGGTAAGGACTTGAAGGAACATTCTGATACGGGTTATGAGATGGACGATCGTCATGGTCATCTTCCTCATCGTCAACCTCATTGTCCCGAACAGGACAAGGCATATTATCAGAACATGAACCGTCATACTCCATATTATTCTGATGTTCAGAGAAGACACGTAGAAGAAATTCTCCCTCTTCGTTGGGGTCAAACGTGGAAGGCACTATGCAGTAGGTACCTTTGGGTAATTTGAATCTGCAGCTTACTTCACGTAAATTTATGAAACTCGGGGATCTAGCTACGGAAGCATTATATTTAAAAAAGTTGAGGTCTAGCGGTTTCGGAGCTCTGTCAGGGTATGGCAGCTAAAACATTAAAAATAAATCGTATTTGCTTGTACGTATGCTATACAACAATTGCAGTACACTAAAAGTTACGTATAATGTAGCAATTTCCATGATTTTAAAATTATTTTCGTTCAATGCTATTGCATGTTTGAATATTATAGTAGCCTGCATAGATATTGTAGCCGTCCATAGAGTCGAAATTTGCGAATAAAAATAAAATAAAACCGGCTCAAACGGAGCCGACGACGGCTTGCAAGTTCTGTCACTACGGCACGCGTCGTATCACACAGGGGCGTATTTAAGACCGATTGCACAAAATCTTAAGGGTCACTGTAATCTTACTATTTTCTATCTACGACAAACGATTTGTCACACAGCTACGAAACCCACGATCTAGAGAAAGATGGAAGTGTGAAAATGTATTTCATCAAGTGTAATAACCGTTTGGTGCAACGCAATTGGTTCAAGCAAACTAAAATATGACAGGAAACAAACAGTCCACGTGGACTAGTTTATACCCGCGTTTGCTGCTAAGATGATCAGGTTTTTCGCTCCACCTACCTCCGCAACGATGAATATACCATACCACAACTTGTTTACAGTGAACAGAGCTTCGTTTTTATTGACGAGATTGAGCTAAGAAATGAAACAGATTATATCATAACGGAAAAGATGACATTTAATATTAAATACGTCTCTGTGCAACGTGTGCCAGAGTGATGTCAGAATTTGCAAGCCACCGTCGGCTCCGCTTGAACCGGTTTTATTTTATTTTTATTCGCAAATTTCGACTCTATGGACGGCTACAATATCTATGCAGGCTACTATATCCCCATTAACTCCTGTAACTAAAAATTAATGACCAAAACCTACTAAACTGAAACGTAGTCATTAATTGTTAGTAGTTATATGAAGGGGGTTCTGGTTCACTTTGACCTTAGTTGACCCTGTCTAGTTCCCTGCGTTTTCCGTATGGTAGTGTTCTGACTCAGTTCGACCACGTTTTCTGGCCAATTTTTATAGGAAATCGTAAATTTCAGAACTCTTTTCAGTACATTTTGGTGGTGTGATTTCTGAGACTTTGCGGCTCTTTGCATTGTATACTAATATTGTTGTACAGCAAAATAGCAAAAAAACAAAACAAAACACAACTTACATAATAGATTGCAAAGCCTATGGTAAGTAAATCCACGCCAACACTGCGGCGCATTTGTCTACGATTTTTTTGCATAAGCGCAACAATTAAAGTGCACTTATCGTCATCATCTCCTTCATCCACTTCCTCCAAAGTAACCCTATATTGCGGATTGTGCGAGAAGGTATCTGCAACGTATCGATAAATAAACTGTCTTTATATATTTATATTTATTTACTTAAAAAGTTTCTGCATCCACCAGCTGTGACACCACGGACCCATTCTCCTTCAAATACAGACATCACCCACTTTTTATTGCGGTCTGCTGTGAGTTCATCTTCGGCGAGTGAATCGGGATTTAAGTTACAAATTTCCAAGCGTTGAAAATGTTTCTGGAAATCTTTAAACGATATCCAGAATTCACCATCAAAATCGAAATTTAACCCAAGCTCATCTTTTTGCTCTTGGGAAATAAACTGCCATTCCGGGGAACTGTAATTATTTTAATACAAAATTAACACAAATGTTAATTTCTTAGACTTTTGAATTACTTATCGCTCCAGGCCCCGTTCCATTCTGATTCATTACCCCAAGGATTTCGCAATCTCAGCAAAGGAATTTTTCCGCTTACATTTGGTGTTGATATATCAACGTACTGAACCTTTGTTATACTGTAAGCGTGGCCTCGGACTAGGCCTTCCGGAGTCTGGGCCTCCAAAACGTCTGGATCGGGCTGTTCCCAAAAATATCAAATTAGGTTAAACTTACTTTTTATAAAACAAAATAATTTTGTTGAAAGTCTAAATTATTACAAATTATACATAACGAGAATAAAAGCCTCTGTAGGTTTAATCAGCATAAACATGTAAATTGATAGGTGTGTCCTGTAATATCTAAAATTTAAATTCAAAGCCTCTTAAGGGAATAACATGGGAAGAAGCAATTTATTATAATTTTTTTTAAGTCACGATAAATAAAATTAATTTTTTCTGTTAGACTCATTAGCTACTTGCCATTTAACCAAGCTAGCTTAACTCAAAAAACTTGTAAAAACGTATAAAAAATGACACATATTTAAAGACCAGGCTACACTGAACTTACTTAATGACTGCAATAGAGAAATCAAAATCAAACACATACCTCAATAGAACAGCCCATTAAAGACCATCTTTCATAAGCCTTCACAATAATTTTAAACAAGTTTGGGGGAGAGGAATCCAATTCGTACATTTCAGTAACGCCACCAGTCATATCTTCCATAGCTTCACAAGTTGAACCTCCTTTAAGTGCTTCATAAGAACCATGTAATCTATAAAACATTTAATTATTTATTAAATTACTCAAAAGAGGAGGCAGTAACAATACTTTGCGTAGGCTTTCTCCAACAAGGCACTCCAAAATTCGTTAGGCTCGGTCGAGTGCAAAAATATCAATTCTCCATTGTAGGTTGGCAAACGGTCATCAATAACTACATCTACCCACCGTCCATATTGCCAAAATCTAAAAAAAAAAGAAAAACAATTCAATACCGTACCGAACAAATTTTGTTTTAAAACTACCGAAAATGAAAGATTCCTGCATAATTTTCCTCAAAGCTTTGATCATCCGGAACAATTTGGAAGAAGAGACGTCTGTACAGAGTTAAGTTTGCAACAGCTGCTAATAACCAACAGTCTCCAAGTTCTCCTTGTTGGACGTCGAATCTTGAAAAACCTTCTACAAATAATTGAGGATTGTCGACGATTTCCTAAAATTTTGAATAAATAATGGGTATATTTTATGCAAATTTAAAGAGTACTTACGGCTGGTCTTTTCCATACATATCGCCTATCGGGTCGTTGAGAATAGAAAAGAGAAGAGTTAGTTGGTGGAAATTCGGGATCTTCAAACAGGGTGCCATTGGCCAGACACTCGTCCCGCAATTCGTAATAATCTTGTGTTCCCGATTTGGATGAAAAACCAGAACCTTTTTCCCCATACTATGCAACAAAAATAACATGATTAAAATATTATTCTTGCATTGTTCCAACCTCGTCAGTAGATAATACTTTCAAATGTAACGCTTATTATTAAAAATAAATAATGAAGATCCAAATCTGTCATACTTTAATACAACATAATGTTGCTGTAATTGTGAAAACACATTATTGACATCAGATCAAAAATAATCAAATAAAATAACGGTTTTAAAAATACGGGAAATAAACACAATTTCAGTGTATTAGCTGAACTTTTCGCTAATTTTCGGCGATGAATATTTTAAATGTTAACTACCGGTTTTATTTGAATTTTTTTCCGAGTTTTTACCCCTGATCGGATATACGTATGTTTAGTGTAACATTAAAATCACCGTTCCATTTTTAGAATTTCCCAAAAATTAGTTATTGCATTTTTGATTCAATCAATAAAATAAACCAGTTTTAGTGGCGGCGTAAATGGGTACCGCCCCGGGTACCAAGCACCAAGGGGTGACAACGACAACTCACTCGCACAGCCAGAGAATACTTGCAGAAGAATCACTCTGCAAGAACATACAAAAAAAAATCGGGATCGCAGACAGGCAGACAGACAGACAGACGGAAACGGGAGACCCTTGTACTCTAAGGGTCATGAAAGGTCGAGAAAATGTAAAAGTAGAGAGTCGGCCGACGGACTTCATTACAATACTTTCTAATATTTTACATTTTTTTTTTCTTAATATACATAGCCATCTTTTCATAACAAGAAACTTAAAACACGGTTAAAATGGTTTATGCATGGAAATATGGGTTTTGCAATTATGGGGCGGAGCCTAATTGCAAAATCAATATTTCGTTATACAAATTTTCCATTTTAAACATGTTATAAGTTTCATGTTGTGAAAAGAAGTCTACACACATGTTTAAACAAAAGGCAAAATGTAAAACCAGCCAACCGGCCTATCTCAATTGTGGTGTTTTTTTTCATTCGCCCTGAACCAAGGGGACTCAGCTTAACTGCAAAATACTCATTCTTTACAAGAAATTAAAAACATGTTTTTGAGCATCGTGTTGTTCAAAGAATACTATGTATATGAAGAAAGAAGGGTAAAATATAAACCCCGCCCACCCTCCCCATCTCAATTGTGAGGATTTTTTTTTTTAGAAATTTAAAACGCGTTTAAAATGGTAAATTTTTGTAAGGAAATATGGATTTTGTAATTAGGCTCCGCCCCTAGGTCTGCCAACGAAGGAAAACTTCATTACTTTTAAATCAGGGCAGTTATGGGTGGGGCTTAATCTTTGGCTTTAATTTTTTCTTAATATCCTTTGAATAACACGACACTCAAAAAATGTCTTAAATGGTAGTTTCTTGTAGAGAGACAAATAATAAGAATTTTGCATTTAAATTCCGCTCCTTTGGCTCTCGACGATTATAAAAAAATCATCGCAAATGATATAGGGCGGGTGGGCGCGGCTTATATTTTCTTCTACAACCCCTTTAAATGCGGTAAAAGTATTGTTGAACATCAAAGTTACTATCAACGGCAACTTGGTAACAGAGTTTATAAATGACAATTTTCATCTCTAAAAGCAACGTCAACGGGAACAGCAACTGCAGCGGTAAGTTTATAAATCCTATTACTAACGTCATCAAAAAAATATGTTCATGGAATAGTTCTAAATCTGGCAAATATCTACAACGAATTTTGGAGCCACTTGGAAGCCGCCAGCATTTCTTCTCAAGAAGCGGTTCAGTGGACTACATTGGAACTTTTCAGATTCATCGTCAAGTGGAGCTATTCTGAGTGTGTTCCGATTCCAGCGCTTTATCTAAGATTTTCTTAACCAGTTGTTTTGGTGGCTTCATGTGAAAGAAGCTTTTCAAAATTGGAATTGATAAAATCGTGCTTAAGGTCCACAATGAGCTAAGCGTGACGAAACAATCTTTCCATTTTATCAACTCAAAGAGAGGAAAGTAAATTTTGATAACGTCATAGAATATTTTGTTTTATTATATAGGGGGTGCTCAATAGAAAACCACCCTGGGTGCCAAACCACGCTACGCCGCCACTGCCCAGTTTATTAATTTTTTTGAAATAAAGTATTTCTAAAAGGTAAAAATATAAAACCAATGCACAAACATTGCATCTCAGGAAATATTTTTTAAGGAAAATTTTATACCCGCCATTAAAAATAACATTTATAAAGAAATAGATAAAGTACCCGTTTTCATACATACAATTAAGAAAAAGTCCCCTGAATTTTCTTATAATTACAGATTTTCAGCAAAGAATTTTTAAATTGTATGATTTAATTATTATTAACGTCTGAAAAATGACGGTATATTTCGAATTTTTTTTGTGTAAATGCTGCTACCGGTTGCGGAATTCCGCTATGTCTGGCAACACAGCCGGGCATGCTAAATCCGCATGATTCGATTACAAATGTTGATGTTACCGATACAAATGTTTTTTTTATAATCCATATGCGTAGTCATAAATTAAAAAATATATACATTAGAACACAGCTAAAACAAATATACAGTATATTGGAACTGAAATTTACTTGTAAAAATTTTCAGATGTTATCAGTTGTTTGGCAAGGATGTGTAGACAAATTTTACTTTCCATTCAAATGCACGTTAAGATTACCTTGTCTCTAAAGAACATCTACAACTTCAACGTTCGTAATTTCAGCGATTATCCTTAATTTGTTCCAAAACTTGACATACAATGCAGACTTGATAAAACTTGTTAAAATGTTACCTTTTGGTTCTACGTGCACGTAATAGAAACAAGTGTGGTGACAGTTTTATTGCAGTGGTTCCTTTCAGATTAATACACATATGGACAAAAATGTGGAATATTCTTTAACCAAAAATATGGTACATTATACGACGATTTAAGTTACTTAAAAACTTTGTACTCGAAAGAACACTTTTTTGGTCCGGAACCATTAATATTTTATGTTTTTCGAATCAACTCGTCCAGATCTAGATTCCCGAATTTTTTAGAAGTTTTCTCAAAAATCTCAAATTTTTTCTTTGTTCTCAGAGCATAAAAAAATTCAATTTGATTCTCACAAAAATTTAAAAATTAGTTAACTATCGTCTTTGCCATTTCTATTGAAACACCACTTGTTAATTGTAAACTTGGCAACGTTCATATTCAGACAATTTTCTAATTAAAAGCCGTTGTCAATTAACCGAAAGCTGTTACCAATTGCTAAATTTTAAGCAAAATCAACAGGTGGTGATTCAATAGAAATGGCAAAGACAATACCTAAAATGTTTAAAATAGTGCTCTTTCTAATACAGACCTTTTAAGTAACTTAAGTAACATAAATCAACACTTCTTCATCCGTGAATCTCGTTGTCTATGTAGTTGAATAGTTGGGTCGCTAAAAATTTTGCGACTTTTAATAATTTTTCTCTGCTATTTACAGCACAAAAAATATTTATTTATTATTTAAAGTTGGTTGATGCGTATTTGAAACGGATGTATATTATTATTATTGTTAATCTACTTTCGTTGGAAGTGTAAATTCAAAAGTAAACATTGCATTCAAGTAATGTCCATAAATGAAGAGTTGACACTGTCTGTACAACTTTAGGTGGTACTACTGTCCTCAATTTGACATGAATCGATGTCAACATAACCTATTACTAGTCATGTTTTTATTAAAACACATACCACTAGAATGATGAAAAGTGGACGTGGAAATGTGTTCCTTCGTAATTACTTTTTGACACTGGCAAGTGATTGAATAGTGTGATATGTCAGTTGTGCAGTAGTACCTATTCAATTGGTTTCATAGCCAACTTTAATTCGTTTACAAGTGATGTATTTACCTTTTCCGAGTTGTACTATCGTCACTTAAAAACATGGCAGATAAATATTCTGAGTAAAACAATGTATATTTTTGGAAATTTCATTGTATTTACCCTATACAATTTTATTGGCAATAACGAGACGGACAGTAGTATAATAGCAAGAGATATTTAAAACTTAAGTTGTCGCGTGCCGGTAATCCCCAGATGTTAGAAAGCAGAATAATCAAGGTCCGGACAGGGACCATCATTATTCATGAACGGTAATGACCATTATTGTATGAGTAGAACTACCTGCTAAATGTTCTCAGACAAATTCGAGTGAACTGGTGTGAGCAATAAATATTTCTTAGCATTGTACTACTGTCCGTCTCGTTATCGTCAATAAAATTTTATAGGGTAGAATGAAATTTCCAAAACTATATCTTAGTTCATCAATAATAATCCATCAAAAATGTTGAAAGAATTAGTCTTTAAAATGCTCTTTCTACCAAGAGACATGACTTCTCTTGATTGTTTTTGTTAAAATATTAATTTTTAAGTTTTTAAAAATTTAAAACCTCTAGTGCTCTGCTCTAAACACATCGCAGTAATTATTTTAATGTGCAGTTATAAACAATATTTTAATGGCACGGTATAGAAGCAAGTAGTAATGATTATAATATTATTTCTTGGAATATCGGTGAAATCAAAGTTGTGTACGAATTTTAATCTAACGTACTGTGTCATACCTTTTTTAAATAACAAACGTACAAATTAAACAGTCAGTGAGGACATTTAGATTCAAAACTTCAAAATATAATTACTTATACGTATCTAATATAATAATTATACACATAACGTTTTTTTCTTAATATCTCATGATTTGAAATGACAGAAGTTTGAAATTTAGAATGGTTACTTAAAAAAAAAAAGAAAATAAAACATATTCTATTATATCATATTATTTACATATATCGTCTATTAAATTCCGGTATTTTGTCTATCTGTCTAATAACCAGAGTTATGCAAATCAGGATTTATCTAATCAAGATCACCACGAAAGTTGTGATGTTGAACACTCATTTCTAATTTTTAAAGCATTTTAACATCTAGGAGAACTCGTATAACTGAGGAAAACCTAGAAAAAGTAGTAATTGTTATTAAGAATTCCCGAAGTTGTACGACTACAATAGCGCTGGCGATCGGACGGCAATGTGCATCACTTCCGCAATGCCGTAGTCTGCTAATAACTCAGATATTTCAAAACCAGAGCTCTTTTTTCTACAAATAACATACTTATTTCAAATGGAAAAATTCATATCAAGTACTAAAATATACCATTCTAGTTAAAACAAGAAGTAGATGCCATTTTCCAGAAAAAGCAAAGGCGATGTAACATTAAAACTATACTGACCTTATACCGTTTTCTGTATTAACTTTTTGTTATAAGTTTCAGACTTCCATTTTTTGAGGTAACTGAGATATTAACGTCGAAGCTGACCTAGACGACGGCATATTTTATAGCATTAAATCAAACAAGTTACTTATCCAGTACTACAGCTTTTAAAATTTAAGAAAATGCTATATTTATTTAATACACTTAAACGGTTACTTTATTCTATTTGAAAAGAAAAGATTGAAGTCATTTCCGAAAAAACCTAAAGCAATACAATGCCACTCGTACATTCATTTTAAAGATTTTTGTGTTAACTGATCTTTCTAAATTTCCAAACTTCCATATTTTCAAATAACTGAGATATTACAGTGGAACAGGGAAACTGGAATACCCAGTATATTAACTGTAAAATAGCGCAAATTTTTCCTGATGCAAGTCATTCAGATCGTTCGTCATCATGTCGAAATTTATAATCTATGTATCTTTTCTTAGTTTAATTTGAGTATTTTGTTAAAGTTGTATATGCGCCTTTTTACCACCTATCTTGCAGCAGAACATTTATTTTTGAAAGATATGGTGGCGTATCAGAGAAATAAAGTGCATGCAACTACCTTGTACAGATTTTTTCCTACATAATTAAGAAAACCGTCGCTTTCTGTTTTTTTCGTCGAAGTTATGCAGTGAAACTTCTGATTATTCCGATGCTTAACTTCATTACCACTTTGTTGTAGTTCAACGTATACAGGCTTTTTTACAGAAACTTCTTCACGTTGTAAACGCCATGGCTGCGAGCTAAGTTTTTCCGCGTGCTCACGATCAAATGCCTTTGCCAATGGTTGTTTAATTATCACCAATCCCTTATCGACGCTTCCCTTATTAAAAACGGATCTTGGAAAAACATTTTTGTCGTAAGCTGCTGTATATTCCGATGGAGCAACACTATGTTTAACAATTTTAAAATGAGACGCAGATGCTTGTGTCGCTTTTTTTTGTTTAACACATTGTTCAGTGACTTCTAGTTTGATTTCACTACGATAAACAGTCTTGTTGGAAGTCATTGCGCGTTGTGCACTGAAAGAACGTTTCAACTAAACTGAAACATTTTCCCCCTGCATATCAACACAGGACGGAAAACATATATAGATTACAACCTTATCGTGGCTCACAAAAAAACTAGAGTAATTACGCAGTTTTGCAAGGATTAATGATGGATTTTAATCAAAATATCTACAATTTCCCTGTTTTCATATGTTCCTGGAATTAAAAGCAACGATGCAACAGGTAATATTAGTTAAATAATATAAGTCTATAAAATTGAACTGGAGTATGATCTGCGATCGCGGTTCGATCAATAGGAAGTTGCATAAGGCAAACCTCTGTTTAATATGATGATGAAAAGTGCAATTTTCCTATTTATAATCTTGAAATTTGAAACATTACGAAAATTACGATATGAAGAACGTTTATATAAAAAAAATTGTAAATTGAGTATTTGATCCTAATTACAGAAAAGAGGGGCATAAAAAGGCTTACTAGGACCACTGTGAAGGTAATATTTGGAATTAACAAAACAAGACTTTTTTCATCAACGAAATTTATATTATTTACGTTAAATAACCAAATTTAAGGCTCAACATACGTTAAAAAGAAGCTTGTAGATATTTAATAGTACATAATTGTTTTTATCGTCAATTTATTCGATTATTTTACTCATGATACTTTTCACCCATGAAGGTGCAAAATTAAAACAGAAAACAAAAAACTTTAACTGTACACAACATTTATAAAACAAAATTCTTGTCTGTTGGAACGAAATAGTAGTGTCCATTATATTTTTCAGTCTATTCTCTCAAAATTAGTTGAAATGACAACTCTGATCCCCTTTACTACAGTGAGATTATAAAATGATCTATTCTTTCCAATTTGGATTTCCTACGGGTTTATCAGTACAAAGCGCCCAAATAAAATATTTTACGTGTATCTGTCAATTCTTAACAAAATGTGCGCGTTTTCTATGATTTTGCTCGTGTTTTGATACAATTAATCAAAACATGTTAGGTCAACAACGATATCAAAAGCCACAATAATAGATACAATAAACTACTTCTATTATTATTAAGTTTTACTTATGTTTTGCTTTTTCATACAAGTTAATTAAAATATATGCTACTAGTATGGTGGTAATACATTCACTATACCAATTGCAAAAACGATGGTGAGTTGTTTCGTCGGTACTATGACAATAGATGTAATTTTTGGTGTTGGTTTTTCCATGATTATGCAAGCTTAACCACGACTAGTAATAGTTAACACTATCTCTTCCACTCGTTTCTTTGTTTATATCCGAGTTCAATTACGGATTGACTGTTTGTTTGAAACTGTGTAATTTTCGGTAACACTACTAACCACTGCGTTTCTAGGGTCTTCCATTTCCAATGAGCGAACAAGCAACGTCCTATTCTTTTTTCTTCACTTCAATCACTTTTATTCAGCAAACTTCGGCGAGATTCTTTTTCAATTCGTCAACTAACATCTCAAACCCGTTCGTATTATATTTCTTTTGAGAAATTTTACCCTCTCAATATTTGTTAATCGCTCCTCCTACTTCCTTATTCGAGGATTTCCTTTCATGAAGTTTACACTAATGACTTATTCGTATGTCATGCGGTCTCCGCTAAGAGACTCCTGATCACATGATGTACTGTTCTCTTCTTCCTCTTTGAGTTATTAGAACCAACTTCTTCACTTGATATACTTAAATTTGATTAAGAAATGCATTCTTTTTCACTGTTACTTTTGTTTTTACTCTTCTCATCTTCGAAACTTTCTTCATTGACTGTCATCAAGTCATCATTGCGTTCATTTGTTTTATTTGAGCTTCAAGTATCGTCCCATTACGTTTGATTTCACTCGTGCATTAATATTTTTTAGAATGGCTTATAGAGGGTGAAAAAATTAATAAATGAAGCAAGAACGGCTGACCTTATTTTGCCGAAAAAATTTGGGAATATGAATTATCCGATCCAAATTGATGCCCTTGTGTCTTTGCTAGAAAGTTGTCATTGCAAAATTTTATCATGAAAAACTAACTTCTTTACCACATATGTCTATCTCTATATTAACGTATGCGGGTTATCATAAAAAAGTAAATTTTTCTAGACAACGTTGGTGAATATGTTGTCGACAATTAGTATTAAATTGTGTCGTGGAGTGAATAAGTCCACGTAGTGTTTCTTGTCTCTGTGCTTTACATGATTATCGATTGGTTGTGTGGAAATAATTTGGAATTATCTATAAGTGAACCATTTACCAGCGAGTTGTACCTTATCTGTGTTTTCACTCCAACAGATAATGTTTTCTTTTTTCATTTTGAAAAAATCATCAGAAGGCATTGTTGGCTGCTTATATTACTGTCAACCTAAAGTACGTTTTTTTTTTTTAAATCCACCAACGTCGCAATTTCTCTCAATAACATAAGCGGCAAACATGGCTACGAATTTTTAGTGGAAAACGAAAAGAAAGTGAGGTTAAGTTACTTGTTGTGTGATGTGACATCTGTAAACAAGGTAACTTTTCTTTTTACTTCGCGAGCGTAAGCTAAGGAAGTATAGTAATCGAGTCCATCAGACGAATGGCCACTTTTATGTTTTCTCGACGTTTCATGACCCCTCCAGTACGAAAAAAGTAGTCTCCCGTTTCCGTCTGTCTGTCTGGTGTCTATCGATATTTATCAGACATGTAATCTCCGAAATTGCTGCACCGATTGCTGTCAAATTTTATATGTATATTAGAAATATCATGTAGATGGTTAATTAAACGCTAATCAAAATTTGGATAACCATCCCTGCGGCGGCACAATAACACGTCGGTAAGCGGAGAAAAGATAATTCGCCTCGTGGTCTAGTGGTCTGGATGCTTGCCCGGAATGCGAGAGGCGTGGGTTCAATTCCCACCGAGGTAACAACATTTTTCTCAGCTTACCTACAATCCCCACCAACAATTTGATGATCTCATTTCAGTGAATAGTATTTTAAAATTATTTGAATGTTATACAAAAATATACTACTATACTTGTAGTGTACGAATCCGCTTTCAGTTTCTTCGCTAGACGTTTAAATTTTCACAAAAACATATGCAAGTTATAGTAACTTTAAATTACCAACACGGAATATAAGCCTTCGCGACGCAGGGGCGCTCTCGAGGAACGGCGACCTCGTGGTTTCGATGCCGAATTTGACCTTTTGCTTTTTTTTTCTTGCATTGGTAATGCGCTGTGACTAGTATTATGCATGTTGATGACATCATTACAAATTTTTTATTGGTCAAATTGTGAGAGTACGTACGTCTTTCTGTAAGAATGATAAAATAAGAATATAATAATCAGAACAATTTGTTCGATTGTGGTTTAATTAATAATAATTTTAGTCCCCTGTTTCGAGGTGACAATTCATTCAAATCAAACAAATTTCTACATGACATTATTTCTATGTATAATAATCGAGTTTGCATTTATCTTGGCTTCGCAGATATAGATGCAGTTGTCACCAACTATTACCAGAGATATCAATACATAATCTGAATGTCGGCATACATTTCGAATTGATTAAAGATATCCTCACTCTCTGCCAATACAGGGTGTATCTCAGCTAAAACTCCGAGGCCTAAGATCTTGAGAAAGGATAGAGATATTAAAATTTTGTAAATGCCATTGTTTTTCGCTTGAAAGAGGAAGCTTAATTTAGTACGATGCAGAGATGACGCATATAGGTATGGCACTGGCTTCGCGACGCAAACCTAATTTTTTACGTATTGAATGGCGACAAATTACTGTTTCAATCCTTATCTGAATTGGAAGGCAATAATAACGAAGTATTTATTTTGGCGATTTCAGCCTGCCTAATGTTACTTGGCATTTAGTGATATCTCATCAGTCATCACTACATCGCAGCCTCACAATTATTGGTTGATTTGTTACTCTCCAGTCACCTACATCAATTAGTAGATTAATCTACTAGATATCGACCAGGCCAGCAACCATCAACATTAGACCTAATTATTACTACAGTACATCTGACAACAATTCATTATCGAATCTAGAGTATCTTGATCCAATTGGTAACTCTCATCATTTAGTTCTTAGATTTGTAGCTGTTCCAAAAGGAGAACGGGTTCACTGTTGAGAACTGTTACAGACTAAACAATTAAAGATGTTTTGTATTGCTTATGAGAGACGCACTGTCAGTAAGACGCTGAACGTTTTTAGAACTTTGCTCACAAACAATTTTTTGGTCTTGTTACTACGCCGCACTTGAAAAATGAAAATGGCCGTATCACTGAGGATTCTGCTAATGTGACTCATACTTTTACACAAACTTTCTCCAGTGTATTTACGAATATGCCGAATAAAATGCTTCCTAGCTTAACTAGTTTTAGTCACAATTTCCATCTTAACAGTCCCAGAAGAAGTTGTTTGCGCAAAGTTGAAAAAATTAAAATGTATCCAGTCGCCTGGTCCAGACGAAATTAATGCCTCGTTTTTGTTAAACTGTGCCGACTCTCTTTCTGAACTCCAAGTCTTCTGATAATGTAGTCCTTTGCTTAGGGGATACTACCGACTGACTGGACGGCAGCCTATCTTTAAGAAAGATGACAAATTTAGTCCAAACAATTATCGTCCGATTAGTTTCAACTTCACGGTTTGTCGAAATCATGGAATCAATCAATAATAATAATTAATTAATGAGTCAATATATTTTTTTTCTGAGCACCAGCTTGTACCAATAGAGCAGCATGGTTTTCTCCCGGGCAAATCCATTGTATCTAATCGTTTTTGCTGCCTTTCTGACCATATAAGAGAACTTGACATAGGGAAATCGGATGATTTACGAAGGGCCGGTTGCATAAACGCAAATCAAATTTAATCTCTGATTAAGAACAATTGTAACTATGATAATAACAATCGTTACTATGGAGTTAATCAGAGATTAAATTTGATTTGCGTTTATGCAACCGGCCCCTAGATTTCTTTACGGCATTTGATCGTTAAGTAACTATCATAAGCAGCCGATTTAAAAACTATAAGA